TTCTGCACTCACCTCCCTCAGTGACTATGCTCAGTGGACTGTGCTCTGAAAGTATAAGCTAAAATAAAGTTTTTCCTCTTTTCCTGTCATCTACTCCTTTTTTGTGTATCTGCTTATCTCTGTACTTGAACTTTCAGGTGTTTCTAGTATGAGATCTCTCCAATTTATGAAGGCACTTATTGCTATGAACTTTCCTCTTAGCACTCCTTTCACTGTGCTCAACAACTTTAGGAATGTAGGGCCTTCATTTTTTTTTTTAATACTAGAAAGTCTTTAAGGGTTTCTCCTCATCTCTTCTGATTAATTTTAGTTTAAAGGCTAAATTTTTGTGGTATATTAGTATAGGATCACCTGTATTTGTGTGCTTGTGCTCCCCTTGATAATTCTCATAGGAAAACATTTCTATAGGACTGGTGGGATTGTGCGGGAGTGGGGCTGTCTTGGCCTTTCCTATTTTGTGTTTGTTATATGATCTCGGCACGCTGACTTCTTTCATTATGTCTGATATTGCAGCCTTCCTCTGCTGAGTAGCATTTTGTGCCCATTTTTGATGTTTCTCAAGCTTGGTTGCATTCAGATCAGATTCTAAGAGTTGGTAGGTAAGTCATTCAGATACAGATACTCGTTATTGATGGCAGGGATGAAAGTGATTCTATTTACGTGTTAATCAAGAAAGTGTGTGAATGTGACTCAGGTCTGTGTCTCTGTGCTTGTGCAAAAGCTGTCCAAGATGAGCTATGCCTGTGAGAGTGGGGATGGCACAGGGAGGTTCTGGGAGATTTACCAGTCTAGGATGGTTTGCAAGAGACAGGACCTATAATATGCTTTCTGGTTGTGGGGAGATTTGAGTGGATGGATATCTGGGCTTTCCAATTGGATGTGCTGCTTTACAAGTGAAGGAACCACAGCTAGGCCTGTGAGTGTGGAGATGGAGTGGGCGAGTGGGGACCTGGAACACTCTACTCTTCTGGTTACACTGGTCCACAAGCAGGAGCCCAGCTAGGTCTGAGAATGTGATACTCACATGGGTGAATAAGAACATAAAACAAACTCTCACCTGCTTAGGCTGGTTCACAGTCTACATGAGCACAGCTATGTTTGGAAGAGTAGAGATGGCACAGGTGGGCTGCCGTCTCTTTTGAAGTTCATCTATCTATCTATCTATCTATCTATCTATCTATCTATCTATCTCTCATCTATTTATTTATTTAATGTGACTTAAAAATACTAGGAAAGAAGCTAGAATCCAGCAGTTAGAAATCTGACCACAGGGTGGCAGTGTACCTCAGCTGATCTACTGAAAGGGGATCTCAGAGAATTCTCAATGAACAGGCTTGCTTCTCATTGGATGGGCAATTAACTCAGCAGGTCTGATTGTCACAAGGGCCAATCTAGACTTGCAAGTGGCTCAGCTGCCTGGAGACTGAGCATCTGCAATTGATCAGAATAGGAAGCACCATGAAGCCAGCTGTTCATGCTTTATTCATTTTCCTCTGGCTACAGATGGTCTGTGAGTTGAGGATGGGATGTGTGTGTGTGTGGGGGGGGAGAATAGAGTGTGTTAGTGGATGATCCTTAGATGTTCAGAAAATGGCTTCATTCAGCCTTTTCCTGCTTACTATAGCAGTAATTAAGGAAGAGAAATGACTTGAAAACCGTTCTCTCCATCTTTCTGCATAGGGGAGAGCAGAGGTGAGCAGGTGAAACAGCACCCTTCTTCCCTGAGTGTCAAGGAGGGAGACAGCGCTGTCATCAACTGCACTTACACTGACAGTGCCTCAGTCTACTTCTCTTGGTATAAGCAAGAGCCTGGGAAGGGTCCTCAGTTCATCATTGACATCCGTTCAAATATGGAAAGAAAGCAGAACCAAAGACTCAGCCTTTTGTTGGATAAAAAAGAGAAACACCTGTCCCTGCAAGTCACAGCCACTCAGCCTGGAGACTCAGCCATCTACTTCTGCACAGCAGATACACACTGCTCCCCAGGCACCTGCAGCCTGTCCTCAAACCTGTCACCACATGTTGAGTGCTTTGCACCGCCCTTGTAGTTCAAGGACAAACACAGTGATTGGTCATGGCCTTTGCTTTTGGTTCTTGGGATTGAGTTTAGAGTCTTGAAAGTACTCAACCAGTGTTCTATCATTGTGTCATGTTCAACCATAATACAACAATTAACTTCAGTTTTAGCATATCATTCCTGGGTTCTACTTTTTCAGAGGATAACAGGTGATGAAAAAAGTGAAATTTCTGAGGTAGGAGAAGGTATAGCCTCAGTGTTCCAGGAAACTACTCTTCATAATTATTAGGAATATAGGTAGAGAACACAAAATGAAACTGAATTTTTACCATTACGGGTATTTTGGATGAGATGTCTCTAATCCTGTAGAAAACAAAAATACATGCTCTTGTTAATACACACTTATAATTCAAACAAGAATACAATTTTTAAAATCACTGTGGAGATATTTAAATGATCCAATTGGCCTGAGTTTTTGTTAGAATAGCAGCCTTTCAGTTTCTATCATTTTTTTGTCATTTTAAAAAAGACAGAACCATCTATTCTAAAAAATATTCCATACCCTCGGATACCATTAATAATATTTTGCTATGCTTACAGAGAGGAATCTAACATAACTAACCTCTGTATGAAAGGCTTCACACAGAAGCAGAATAAAATAGATTCTGAGACCCAAAGCCAAACACTAGGCTGAGCTAAGGGAATTTTGTGGAAGATTTGGGGGAAAGAGAGACATTAGGAGGGGACAAGAACTCCACAAGAAGAGACTGAACCACCAACCAAAGACCAAGCAAGGACTGAACCTAGACTCCGTATACACATGTACCTCATGGGAAGCTTGGTCTTCATGAGGTTTCACTAATAATGGGAGCAGGGAGTCTCTCTGACTCTGTTGCCTGATTTTGGATCACTTTCTCCTAGCTGGGCTAACCTGTCTGGGCTCAGTGAAAGAGAAGGCACTTAGTGCTGTTGAGACTGGATGTGCTGGGCTGGGTTGGTTGCTTGGGTCTTCTCTTTTCTTCAGAGAAGTGGAAGGGAAAAGTAGAAAGAGGGTGGGACCAGGAGAAGAGGAGGAAGGGGCTGCCAACAAATTAGTCCTTTGTCGTGTTTCTTTACAACACTGAATTACATGTTAGATGCATGATTTTCTGCATTTAAATGGACTAATAATCCCACCTGTGCATTCATGTTTTTTTTTCTTTTAAGTTATCCATTCTAAGATGAGAGTCAGAAAGACATGTATAATTTACAGTGATCATCTACTCAAGCACTGCCCTAACTTCAATAATGTCCCCTATGTTGTAGGTGTTAGTTTTAATAACCCCACTTTTTTCATAATTCTATTTTGAGTAGTGTTTAGATTTCAAACAGTTCATTCATCACCTATTGAAATGGGAATACATGTGATACACATCTTCAAGAAGGTTAGAAAACACTATTGTCACTATAATACATGAAAGTTTTAGACATCAAAGTCAGCTTCATGTTTCCTAACAACAACCACCACTGGTCACAATGACGTTTACAGAAAAGAGCTAACATTGGTGCAGAGTGTCGTGTGTTGTAGGAGATTATTGATATTTACTTTAGGTTTATCTTCTAGTAAAGCTTGCTGTTAATCTTAAACAGCTGTATAACCAAATCACCACACAGAGACTGGGTTTTTAGTTAACCTAGAACACAATGTTGGGCAATATTTACTCCCTTCTAAACCTCCAAGCCCTCAGTTTCCTAACATTTAGATTTCCCACATTATACTTGCTTTTTGTGAAATCTTAGGTCTGGTTCATGCTCCATGTCCTCCAAGCTCCCTCTTCCAGCTCTGCTCTCCTCACTCTCCTCTCACCCCTTCTCCTCCCACTCTTTCCTGCTCTCTAGCTCCTCCCCTCTTTCCTGTCCTCTGGCTCCTCCCATTGCACAACATTGTATCTAGTTGCTTTCTTTTGTCCTGTTCACACAAGAGTTGAGACAGGATGTTTATAATGAGTATCACAAACAATATCCAGATTGAAACCAGAGAGTTGGGAGTGGGGAAATCAGTATTTGAATTAACAAGGGTAAGGCCTATACATTTTAAAAGAACATTATACCTCCAGTGGTGTAAAACGTGTGTTATATCAGTTGTGCCAGTCCCAACTGCTTCCTTTCTTGTGGTTGTTCTGTGTAGTTAATGTTCAAATATTGTTTCAAGACACCAGTGACATCCTAAGTAAATGGGCAGCACAATCCCATTCTTTAAAACCTTCCAGAAGATACAAAGAGCAAATAGTAGTGATTACACACTCTTAGAGTCAATGTATAGTAACTGAATTTTATAGTATGTTCTTAAAATTTTAAAAACATTTTATTCTACTTTAGGTGCATGAGAGTTTTTCTTCCATATGTGTGCCTGGTGCCAATAGAGGTCAGAAGAGAGAGTCAGTTCCCCTAGAGCTGGAGTTATAGTTGTTGTGAACCAGTGTGTGTTCTGAGAATCCAACCAGGGTTCTCTGCAAGTGCAACAAGTGCTCTTTAGTGCTGACCATCACTCCAGGTCTGCAGAGTATCTTTCTACAAATTTGAATCACTTAAAATAAAGTGTAAAAACCTCTTTATTGCCATTCAATTTGTCATATGGTAAAGACCAAAACAGAAAGCCCACCAGTTGTTCTACTATAACATGTATTCTACTTTCATGTAAGATATAATCCTCAGAATGATGACAATCAATATGTTCATGCCCACTGTTTATGTTCTTTACATTGTCAAGGGCCTCTTGAAGTCTGACATGTGCCCTACAGTTGATGTAGACGGTGAGAGTACATTTCGTCCTCTGGGAGAATTGCCAGAGACCATTGTTGAATCTCTGTCCAACAGGGGGTGGAGTTTCCTAACACAAGATCATCATCTATGTGAATTATAAGCTTCACAGTTTCATCATTTGATGTCATTTTATCATTTCTTTCTGTGAAGAGTCAAGAACAGTAGCTGGGTGACACTGAAGATGAACCCTCCTCCAGCTTTAGTGACTATGATGCTGTTCATGCTTGGTAATTCAGTGACTTCCCATTTGCACCCTTATTTCTATGATGTCAGAAAAATATTTAAACTTCCATGAGCTTTGTTGTTAATGTAACAGAGATATCCTGTTCTTGCTCCAGGGAGGATCCATGGAGACTCAGTGACACAGAAACAAGTTCAAGTGACCCTCTCAGAAGGCAATTTTCTATTGATAAACTGCACGTACTCAGCCACAGGGTACCCAACTCTCTTCTGGTATGTTCAATATCCTGGAGAAGGCCCCCAGCTCCTCCTGAAAGTCATCACAGCTGGCGAGAAGGGAAGCAGCAGAGGGTTTGAAGCCACATATGATAAAAGAACCACCTACTTCCATTTGCAGAAAGCCTCAGTGCAAGAGTCAGACTCGGCTGTGTACTACTGTGCTCTGGGTGAACCAGTGGCAGGGGGAGCTGAGCACAAACCCTGAGAAGCAAAAGAAGCCTTACTTCTGATCATCTGTCTTTTAGATCATGCTGTTTTCCACCAGTCTGTGTGTGCCCCAAAGTTTCTCTGGTTGGTGAAAGTTGTACAAACTGTCAGAGCAGAACAAGAGGAAGATGTTATCACAGCTGGATTTTCATAGGGGAAACTGAAACCCTACAATATCAGTGGTTACTCATGGAATATCACACTGATTTCACAGGAAAGCTATGGATACCATGAAGTGGTCATTTTACTTCATCTTCACCTACCTACAGGTAATTTTCTTCATATAAAACAGGACACCTCCATACCATGTTCTTCACACAGAACAACATATGCCAGGAAAATGCCATCTAGATAATACATATCTAATACTTTGGAAGGACAGGTTATCAGAGGGCTATAGCCTTTGTATACCTGAAGATTTGTAATAAAGACACATAGGTAGAAAGGACAGGAGAAAGGGAACCCAGAGCAGGCAGATGATCTTCAGAATTTCAATGTCCCCCATCTCCTCTAAATCCAACCCCCAGTCTCATCCTCAGCCCTGTAGTAGACTCTCTGCTGTGGTCCTCATACCTTTGTCCACATTCCCAGAGCACTGGACTGATCCTGATGGCACACCCTGATTTCTTCTCTACCATGGATCTCCTCACACTACATCTCTTTTAGCCCATCCCTTTGCCTAAGTGTTAGCACCCAATTGGAAAGAAACACATTCTTTCTGGAATCCAGTGTCCACAAGTGGCAGGATCTCAGAAGGATCCCTAGCAGGCAACCCACAGCCGCCACCCTGTTCTTAGAACCAAGGAGAAGAATAGAATCCAAGGAAGAGAGCACACATCTGACAAAGGCAAGAACACACACCAGCACAGAGAATTACAATGATCTCAAGCCCAGATGCCTAGATTCCAGCATAAAAACAATAACATTGATAATGATATGTCTTAAAGCCCAAAAACCCTACTCCAGTAGGCCCCATGAAACACAAAATAGCTGATGCACATGACAAGAATTTCAAATTACCCTTTATGACTATATGACTATATTAGAGGTCTTGAAAGAGAAAGTGAATATATTCATTAAAGAAATAAATGAGCAAAAAAATCTGGGCCCAGGAGGGCCTGCAGAGACTGATGAATCAACCAAGGGCCATGCATGGAGAGGACCTAAACCCCTGCTCAGATGTAGTTCATGGGCAGCTAAGTCTCCACAGGGGTTCACTAGTAAGGGGAGCAGGGGTAGTCACTAGCATGAACTCAGTTGCTTGCTCTTTGGTCACCTCCCCCTGGAGAGGTGGCCTTACTAGGCCACACAGAAAAAGGATCTAGACTGTCCTGATGAGACCTGATTAGGCTAGGGTCAGATAATGAGGGAGGAGGACCTCCCCTATCATTGGGTTGGGGAAGGGGTATAGGAGAAGAAGAGGGAGGGAGGGTGAGATTGGGAGGGGATAGAGAAGGGGGCTAGAGCTGGGATACAGAGTGAACAAACTCTAACTATAAAAAAACTGAAAAAAAATAGAAAATGCTTTGTTTATTCCTTGTATGGTTTTGGCTCCTTTGTCAAAATTCAATTGTCCTGAAAATACACTACACAGTATCAGTTGACCAAAGCACAAACCAACTACTTGGCTGTGTTGATCCTACTGCCTCCATGCCTCCACAGATCTTTACTATGCTGGCTGTGGAGCTCTCACAGACTCCTGTAGGACAGTTGTTTCCTGCCTTGTTCTATGTGGACCCAGTTCAGCTCTGGCACAGACATTTCCCTGGTACATATGGCTTCATGTCTATGTTAGGAATGGAGAGTGGGAGAAAATGGAAGTGTTAGGAAAGAATAGAGATAAGGAAGAAAGGGGAGGAGTGGAGAGGGGAGGCAGAGTCAGAAAGAGGAAAGGGGGGAGAAACCAGATCTACAACTTTCATGATCAATCCCTACTCAAAGGACTTTATTCAAGAAGAGAGAATAAAAAATGAGAGAAAATAACAAGTTCCCCAAGTTTTATTTATTGTTGAGTTGCTAGACACAGTTCCATCTTTTTTGCACCAAGCACACAAGCATACTCCTGGCTCCAAATAAAATGAATAATTCCAGGCCTTTCTAGACTCTAACCTAGATAAACAGTCTGTGCAGGCCATCTGTAAAGCTTGTAGATGTATTTGAATGGGAGTGACAAGGGTTAGATTTAAGCCTTACTCAGATTTCTGTGGCTGGTATTTCTAGGTGGTTTTCCAGTGCAGGTGAATGCTTGTGTGAGGTACTCATTATTACTGAGAAAGAAGACAACATATGCAGAGTGTACACACACACACAGACACACAATCTCACTCCCCACCCACACTCAGGTGGCAAATGTTTCTTTAAAATGCCAATTGAACTCTCAAGAACTTTACTTTTAATAATTACATTAGAAGAGTTTACAGATTGATTATTTCTTTGGTCACTATCATAAGTCCACAAGATGGCAGTGTCTTCTTAGGGATCCTAAGTAGAGTTCTCAAGTGGGAGAAAAGGGAGGGCAGGAAGTAGAGGGAGGGGTGGAGAAAGGGCTGGAGGAAAGGATTGGTGGTGCAGAGGTGGTAAAGAGAGTCCCTGTTCTCATTGCTAGCAAAGCAGCTTTTCATGTTTCCTGAAGCAGGAGAGGTGGAAACTTTTGAACGTGACCATATGAGTTTAGAGTTGAGGATCTGAATCCTAAGTGAAGAGGGAGGAGAGATGAAATCCTTGAGTGTTTCACTAGTGGTCCTGTGGCTTCATTTAAGCTGTAAGTCTGGGAATTTCTTTGGGATCCAGGTGTGGTATATAAAGTTGTTGCCTGCTCCAGGCTAATGGTAGAAAACACATTTGTTTTTAATCTCTGGTTAGGGGTGGGCAGGCTACTGAAAAAGCATTCTGCCTCCAGGTGTGTTTGTCTGACCTTTGTCTTTCTGCACAGGGGTGAGTAGCCAGCAGAAGGTGCAGCAGAATCCAGAATCCCTCAGTGTCCCAGAGGGAGCCATGGCTTCTCTCAACTGCACTTTCAGTGATCGTAATTCTCAGTACTTCTGGTGGTACAGACAGCATTCCGGGAAAGGCCTTGAGGCGCTGATGTTCATCGTCTCCAATGGTGACAAGGAAGAAGGCAGATTCACAGCTCACCTCAACAGAGCCAGCCTGCACGTTTCCCTGCACATCAGAGACTCCCAGCCCAGTGACTCTGCTGTCTACCTCTGTGCAGTGAGCACACGGTGCTCCCCAGGCACCTGCAGCCTGCACACAAACATACGGGGTCACAAAATGCCTTAGAGAGAGCTCAGACCACACAGTGGAGAAATTGTTTCTATCCTATATACAATGGGAATTAATAGCAAGAGGAGCAAGAGCTTGCTTGATTGAGAAGGTATTTTAACATTTTGAAAAGAAGTAGTCCTGACGAGAAAGGCAAACTATTGGTTCACTTGAAATATTTTCCACTTTTCTCTTCTCACATGCTGATGGTTAGGTAACAATGTTGGAAACAAATATATGGCCATGACACTCACCACATGCCGTGCTATAAAGACAACCAACACCACTACAGAATCGCAGCTTCCTTGATTTTAAGAGCTGTAAATAAACGTTATTTTTTAATTTTTAAAAACAGCATAGAAAGTCGCAGGTTTCTGTCTGTCAGGCTCATCCATATTTGCTTCTGGTTGTCTCTTCTCCCATCTTATATCCTCTCTGCCATCTCCCAGGTCCCCATTCCCACTCAGTCCTTCTAGCTCCCAGTATCCCTGCTTCCACTTCCATATCATGGGTTCTGTTACCTCCCACTCATCTGTCTTAATGTTTTGTTTTCTCTTCTCATTGGCTGCTTTCTAGTTGTGTGATATCTACACACACTCATATGCATGTGAATATATAAAAATAAAAATTAGAAGCTAAGATTTGCATGTGTTGTCTCTCTGATTCTGAATATCTCACTATAGTATTTTTCAATTGTGTCCATTTTCATACCAATTCCATAGTTTTATATTTCTGAGTAATACTCATCTGTCTGTGTGTCTGTCTATCTATCTCTATCTATCTATTATTTATTATCTACATACCTATTTATGATCTAACTATATATCTATATATGTATCTATTATCTATCTATCTTTATCTATCTATCTATCTATCTATCTATCTATCTATCTATCTATCTATCTTTATCTATTTATCTATCTCTCTCTATCTATCTATCTATCTATCTATCTATCTATCTATCTTTATCTAT